TTTTCCATTGAGTATAAGTGTGGCGAAATCCTCTGCTGAGGAGAGAGTAAATTGGTGCAATTTTCTGAAAGGCATCTGGCAATGTATAGCAAAAGCTCTTTCACCCAGAAATTTATCCTAAGGAAAAAAATGAGAATTGCACACAAAGGTTTATAAACAAACTTCATCAAAACGTTTCTTTATAATGGCAGAAAATTACAGTTAACTTGAATTTCTCCAAACTGGCTAAAGAAAGCATGGTATGTCCCTAGTATGGAATACTGTGGCAGCTGTTTGCAGTCCTGTCTGCAGATAAGGCTGTGGGAAATTGCCTAATTGGGAAATGGGAAAAGGAAGAAAATCACATCTTGATGTCAAGCCCATTTTGCATATCGTGAGAAACATACCAGCTAGGAAAAGTAAACGGGAAGGAAATATATATTAAAATGTGAATAGCATTTTCCTAGATATTGACACAGTGGTTTCAATATTTCAATTTTTATTTTGCTAGATTTGCCAGATTCTCCACAATTTAACATGGAATGCTTGCCCTTGACTCTATTTGTGGCTGGGTACAGTGACTGGGGGCCTGTCCTTTGGAGGCGGTCCCCAGGCTGCTCTTGTGGGTCCCGCTTCAGCCAGCCCTCCGGCTTTTGTCCCCCACAGTGACCGATTAGCGCTGCTCCAGGTCCGGGCCATCCTCCAGCAGCTGGGTCTGAATAGCACCTGCGATGACAGTATCCTCGTCAAGACGGTGTGCGGGGTGGTGTCCAGGAGGGCCGCGCAGCTATGTGGCGCGGGCATGGCTGCGGTGGTGGATAAGATCCGCGAGAACAGAGGACTGGACCGTCTGAACGTGACTGTGGGAGTGGACGGGACGCTCTACAAGCTTCATCCGCAGTGAGTGGGGCTTCCAGTTGGGATGCACAGAGCTTACTGGGATCCCTTTGGGTTACGGGATATCAGGGTGTGGTTCACACTGGGGAAATTCCCTGCCAGAGTCCAGCCAGCTGGAAGGCTGTGCGTTCAGGAACTGGGGATTATCTGGGACAAGGTAATGAACAGTTTGTAGGGTTTGACTGGGATCCTTAGGGAGACAGAGAAGTGGCTTCACTTCCCCACCTCACACCAGTGACATGATGTGACCCTCACTCCACTCCTCCTGGGCCCCCTTAGGTGGGGGCTTGGTAGTGGGAGAGGAGGTGAGGGTAAGGGTGGGCATGGGCTCACTCATAAGCCTGGTGAGCTGTGGTCAGGCCAGAGGCTATGTGGGTGAGTGGGGAGATGGTGTTAAGAAAGGGGAGGAGCTGGTGCAGTGGCTCACACCTTAATCCCACATTTTGGGGAGGCCTAGGTGGGAGGGCTGCTTGAGTCCAGAAGTTTGAGACCAGCCTGGGCAGCAAAGTAGGACATTCTCTCTACAAAAAGTTTTTGAAAATTAGCCAGGCGTGGTGGTGCACTCCTGTAGTCCCAGCTACTTGGGAGGCTGGGGGTGGGAGGTAGAGGTCGCTTGAGCCTCTACCTCCCAGCCTCAAGGAGGATTGCTTGAGCCTGGGAGGTAGAGGTTGTAGTGAGCCCAGATCACACCACTGTACTCCAGCCTGTGCAACAGAGTGAGACCCTATCTCAAAAAATAAAATAAGAAAGGAGGAGAGCCACTGCCTTGTTCAGCTGCTGAATCAGTTCGCTAAGGTTGGAAGGGCGGGAGTGGTGTCGGCCCTGGGCTTCCTGGCAGGGAGGGGTAGGGAGTGGCCTCTCTCTGGTCATGCGTCTGACCCCCCCATGCCAGAAAAGGACACGTTGACTCCACTTGCTTTGTGATTGTGATCCGCATGTCTCAAAGCTTGGCTCTTAGGAATAGGGTGACCATATTACTTATTTATTGTCTACACTAGGGTACTCTTGCCAGTCAAGACTGCTAGTAATGATTACTCTGGGACTGTAGGCAAACTAAGACTGTCCCAGATAAACAAGGCCATAATGTCACCCTAATTAAAAGCAACCTCACCTGACTCAGTGTAGACATGACCTGCTTACCTCGTGGCCACGGCTTGGGATGGAACCATCTGTCTTGCTCCATCCTCACCTCTGTCTCTTCACCTTAACAGCTGTCCTTGCCGTCAGCTGAGGGCAGCACACAAGCCTGGTTTAGAGCTAGGCTTTGGAGCCACATGCTCTTGGATTTAACCCTGGCACCGACACTTAGAATCTACGTGCAATTGCTTACTCCCTGCAAAATCTCATCTTCCTCATGGGATGGCAGCCTCTGGCAGGACTAGAAATTAGATCTATAAAGTAAGAGGCACCTAGTAGGTCCTCAAACTTCTTGGCTTAAGTGATCCTCCCGCCTTGGCTTCCCATAGTGCTGGGATTCCAGGCATGAGCCACCGCACTCAGCCCACCTGATAGGTCCCCCACCAAGAGCAGTGATTACTTTTGAGAGCCCCTCGCCCCAAGCATCTTGTCTTTGGGGGCCAGGCTGTTAACGGTGGGGGTCTGGGGGGGAGTCTCAGGGCTGCAGCTGGGGTGGCTGATATTCATTCCTGCATAGCCTCCTGATCGGATCCAGTGCTTGGCCGGCTTGGACCTGCCTCCGTGATCCATGCTGGCCCCTAACATCCTCCTTGGCTTTCAGGTCCTCTTGGAGCCTCAGGCTCCGATGTGGGGTGTGTGCGAGTGTGATTCATGTCCTAGCCCTCATAAGCCATACAGAGCAGTTGTCTTTGGGTTCTCGTTGGGCCTCCCTGCTGAAAATTCTGACAGCGGGATTGACCGTAGGCCCACTGTCCTCCCAGCCGTTCTCAATTGGCCGAAGCTGCTTCTAAGCAGCCTCCCTCCCAACCGTGTTCATGCCCCTTATTGTCGGATTCAGAGTCTCTTTGACTTAATGCTTATGCCCCGATAAAACCCTTCACAAAGTTAGAGAATCCTAAGTGGAATCATCACCAGTCGGGGGGGGGTCTGTGTTTGCTTTGGTGTTTCCGGGTGAGCCCCGCGTCCCTCATCTTCCTCCAACTACCCTCTTCTCTTTTCTCGTCCTTTTTAGCTTCTCCAGAATCATGCACCAGACGGTGAAGGAACTGTCACCAAAATGTAACGTGTCCTTCCTCCTATCTGAGGATGGCAGCGGCAAGGGTGCTGCCCTCATCACGGCCGTGGGCGTGCGGTTGCGCACAGAGGCAAGCAGCTAAGAGCCCGGGACCCCCACCTGCTGCCCCTCCAGCACTTCTCTCTTCGAGCGGCAACCCCTACCCTCCCAGCGAGTCGTGCTGGGAGACGCTGGCACCGTGGCCCCCTAGCGTGGGGAGGAAAGCAAATTCCAACTAATGGTGTATATTGTAGGGTACAGAATAGAGGGTGTGCTGTTGATAATATTTCTCACCCGGATCCCCCCTCACCTGCCCTGCCACTCTGCATGGTTTGACTTCGACCTGGTCCCCCACATGTGAAGTATACTGGCATCCATTTCTAATGTATGCATTCATCCAACGGAGTTATTTATTGGCTGGAGATAGAAAGTCGCACCACCTGACAGGCCTTCTGGGCCTCCGAAGTCCATCCTTGGGGTTCCCCATCCCCGTGTGAAATGTATTATCACCAGCAGACACTGCCAGGCCTCCCTCCCGGGGGCACTGCCTGAAGGCGAGTGTGGGCATAGCATTAGCCGCTTCCTCCCCTCCTGGCACCCACTGCGGCCTGGCGTCCCATTGTGGTGTGTCAATGCCACAAAATTGTGTGTCTGTGGAACCAGTCCTAGCTACGTGTGACAGTCTTGCATTCTGTTTGTCTCGTGGGGGGAGGTGACAGTCCTGCGGGAATGTGTTTTGTCTCCATTTGGGTAAAAGGAACCAACCAACGAACAATACCATCACTGGAATTTCCCACCGCTTGTGAGCCATGTCGTATGACCTAGTAAACTTTGTACTGATTCAAAGACCTGAGTGATGCTTACTGGCTGGGGACGGGGCAACGGGCTGGGGGGCGTGAGGTTTCTTACGATGTGTCAAAGACCAAACACGGGAGTTTTATAGCCTTCTGTGTGGAGGAGGTGTTTTTTTTGTTTTTTTGTTTTTTTTTTTTTTTTGAGACAGATTCTTGCTGTGCCATCTAGGCTGGAGTGCAGTGGTACAATCTCAGCTCACTGCAACCTCCACTTCCAGGGTTCAAGCAATTCTCCTGCCTCACCCTCCCTGGTAGCTGGGATTACAGGCGCCCGTCACCACGCCCAGCTAATTTTTGTGTTTTTAGTAGAGATGGGGTTTCACCAGGCTGGTCTTGGTGGCCAGGCTGGTCTTGAACTCTTGATCTTGTGATCTGCCTGCCTTGGACTCCCAAAGTGCTGGGATTACAGGCGAGAGCCACTGCACCCAACCAGAGTTTTTTTTTGTTTTTGTTTTTGTTTTGAGACGGAGTCTTGCCTTGTCATCCAGGCTGGAGTGCAGTGGCACAACCTCAGCCTACGGCAACCTCTATCTCCTGGGTTCAAGCGATTCTCCTGCGTCAGCCTCCTGAGTAGTTGAGACTACAGGTGCTCGCCTCCACGCCCAGCTAATTTTTGTATTTTTAGTAGAGATGGGGTTTCACCATGTTGGCCAGGCTGGTCTTGAAGTCCTGACCTCAGGTGATCCACCTGCCTTGACCTCCCAAAGTGCTGGGATTACAGAACAAGGCCACTTGATTTCCAGAAACTGCTTGGGTTCAATGAGAGTACTGCAACACTGGTCCCCTCTCTGCCATCCCCACATGGATCCTGCCTTCATCTTCCTCTCTGCCAACTCTTAAGACAAAGGATGAGATGTGCCCTGCCCCACCCAAACACAGATGAAATCTTGAAGCAGCCCAGGGTTGCTGTACTCTCCCCGTCCAGGATCTTTTTTCTTTCTTTTTTTTTTTTTTTGGTCATCAGTTATCATTAGTTTATTATAAAAGAGAGATATGGAAATTATTTACATGATGAAAGCTTTCAGAACTTCAGTGGAATGGGCAGCTTCACATTGATGCCATTTCAATAGTGACTTATTTCAGTCTACGTACTTTCCAAGAATGTCACCATCTCTAAATAGGAAAGAATCCTTGTCATCTAGAACTACTTTGGTGCCTCCATATTCTGGGGGAAGAACTTTATCTCCAACTTTCACACTAACTGGTTGAATCTCTCCACCCTTTCCTTTAGAACCCGATCCAACAGTGACTACTGTTGTTTGCAATACTTTTCCTTGAGATTTTTCTGGAAGCATAATGCCTCCTTTGGTCACAGTTTCAGCAGCACTCCTTTCAACCAATACCCGGTCAAAGAGTGGGAGAAACTTTCTAAACGCCTGTCCTGCCATGACTCCCTCAGCCTCAGACTCGTACTCTGCCCGGATCTTTTTTCTTTAAGTTTTCTTTATTTTCTGTAGACAGAGTCTCGCTATGTTGCCAGGGCTGGTCTTAAACTCTTGAGCTTATGCAATCTGCCTGCCTTAGCCTCCCACAGTGCTGGGATTACAGGCATGAGCCACCATTCCCGGCCCACCCGCTCCTGGATCTTAGATTTACCCACTCCCTAGGAAATTAACCCTTGTCTGACCTTTTTACTCTCCTGCCCCACCCCCACCTCAAGAGATTGCCATTCCATCCCCAGACTCTCATTTTGGATTCTCCCCAAGCTTTTGGTGAGTTCCATGTTACTCTGCACCCAAGCACCCTGTGATGTCCCATGCCACAACTGCTTTAAGTGCCTTCCTGCAGGACTGACTGCAAGACCACCTGGTTTGGTGAGATCAGAGTCCCTTTATTAGGGGCATTGTGATTTTTACGGAGAACACAGATAACATTACACCTTGCAATATGCATTGACGATGTTATGTGGTTCATCTACGGGGGAACCAGGGCATGGAGGCTGAGTCGGCAAGCAAGAGGAGGTGTACCCTTGGGATGGGCTGGGCCAGACCTGGAGCTTCCTGGGAGTTGGGACAGTTGCTGCTCTCTGCCCTCCAGCTTCTTGCTGCGGTGGGAGTGGGAGCTGTGCTGCTGCTTTGTAGGTGGCTTTTGTGTAAAATAGTTAAAAGTCATGGCTAACAGCCAGATGTGAGGGCTGACGCCTGGAATCTCACCACTTCAGGAGACAAGTGGGAGGAATGATTGAGCCCAGGAGTTCAAGACCAGCCTGGGCAACATAGCGAGACCCCGTATCTACAAAAATCTTAAAAATCAGCTGGATGTGGTGATGTGTGCCTGTGGTCCTAGTTACATGGGAGACTGAGGCAGGAGGATCCCTTGAGCTCAGGAGGTTGAGGCTGCAGTGAGCCCTGATGGTGCCACTGCACTCCTGCCTGGCTACCATGTATATTGGGCACTTACCTGGTCTGGCCGGCTAGTTTATAGGTATTACTGCCATTGTCCTCACAGCATACCTGTGAAGTAGTCTTGATACTGGGCAGAGGAACCGGCTCAGGTGTGACTTGCCTGAGGAAACACAGCTGACTCTTTGGACTCTTAATCCCCATCTACCTGGGCTGTATCTGACGTCTTAGATACTGAGGCAGAGGGGCCCTCGGCTGACTCACAGTCACGGGGCTTTGTGAAATAAGAAGTTTCCTCCCAGGCCGGGCGCGGTGGCTCAAGCCTGTAATCCCAGCACTTTGGGAGGCCGAGGTGGGTGGATCACAAGGTCGAGAGATCGAGACCAACCTGGTCAACATGGTGAAACCCCGTCTCTACTAAAAATACAAAAAATTAGCTGGGCGTGGTGGTGCGTGCCTGTAATCCCAGCTACTCAGGAGGCTGAGGCAGGAGAATTGCCTGAACCCAGGAGGCGGAGGTTGCGGTGAGCCGAGATCACGCCATTGCACTCCAGCCTGGGTAACGAGCAAAACTCCGTCTCAAAAAAAAAAAAAAAAAAAAGAAGTTTCCTCCCTTGTATCCACAGCCTGATGGTGAATCAGTGTCATGGTTGCATTGCCCACAGATAACGTTTTGTCTGGCTTACATAAAGCTTATGAAAATGTGGGTCAAATTCAACAGATCTGGAGGACTCACATACAGATCTGGATTGACAGCTTCTCTGAAAAGACGTAGAAGATCTGGGCTCCCATTACCACGTGGTAACGTTTGTCCAGAGCTGGGGAGTTCCTGGCCCCTTTGAATGCCTGTTGTCTCCGGGTTGCCATGGCCCCCACCATTCCCTAGTCCCTCAACACTGAGGCTGGAAGTCAGTCGCCTTTTATTGTCACATTTGCAGTTTTTCTTCTGTAAGTATTCTTGTACGCTCCAGGAAGGCATTTGAGCTTGCCTCTCCTAGATTAGGTAAATACCAGCTCACACGGTCTTTTCTGACCTTGACTGGATCCCTTGAGGTGCTCTCTGAGATGAGGGGCTGAGTCCTTGTAGAGTCAGTGTCCTTTCTGGAGTTCCCGGCCCCATCTTGTTTTTGCATTGGGCTATTGAAGCATAGGGCATGCGCTGAACTTGCAGATCTGGTCTTGATCGGCTAATTCTCAAAGGGTGCTACACCTCATTCCGCAGCCAGGCACAAGGCTTCAGGGTTCAGTAGGCATCTGTCTTAGTCCATTTGTGTTGCTTTCATGGAATACCTCAGACTGCGTAATTTATAAAGTAAAGAGGTTTATTTGGCTCATGAGTCTGGTGGCTGGAAAATCCAAGATTGGGCAGCTGCATCTGGTGAGAGCCTGAGGCTGCTTCTAGTCATGGTAGAAAGTGGAAGGGAAGTGGTTGTGTGCAGAGAGATCACATGGTGAGAGAAGAAGACAGGGAAACTGAGGACACCATACTCTTTCTAACAACTTGTTATCTTGGGAACTGGTCCATTCCCACAAGAGTGAGGATTCACTCCAGCTGAAGGGCATTAATCTATTTATAAGGGATCCACCCCTAATACCCAAACACCTCCCACTAGCCTCTGCTTCCCAACTGTGCCACATTGGGATCAAATTTCAACATGAGTTTTGGCGGGGAAGAGCAAACCATACCCAAACCATAGCCCTGATCCATTTTGGGGATGCCCCACCTCCCCATTGGTAGCTTCGGAGGGGGCTGCATCCCCAGCCATGAACAAAGTCTCCTTAGTGTGACACCTGTTGACTCTCGTGGAGAGGGAGGGCGTGGGAGTCAGCTCGACCTTATCTTCCTCAGTGGGTGTGACCCATGGGCAGCAGCGGAAGGCAAGCCGGAATCCAGAGCGAAACCTAGGGGAGCGAGGGGCACAGCAGCTGTGATGTGACTGCCCCCACCCCCAGGAAACTGTCTCCCTTCCAGAGGAAAGTCACTGTTTCTCTCCAAGAGCCTCCCATGGCTCGGGGGCTCTTGAGAGACGCTCTCGTGGCTGAGTTTGATGTGTGGAAACTGCCAGTGTTCTGGAGCTGTCTAGTGAATGCAGTGGGTGACTGAGCTGAATTAGGTCATCTGTTATTAGAAACAAACAAACAAAAAACTGCCCCAGCATAATTATAAACAAAAAAACAAAACAAAACAAAAACCCAGCAGATGTTCCCGTTTGACTTGTTAATTGGCTTCTAATGAAGGAATCAGAGAAGAACCTGTTAAAACACAATGGAGGCTTTGGCAACTCCAGAGAACAAGGATGCTTTCCCAAGGGAACTGCTTTGACAAACCCACACTTGGTGCTCTGGTGCATTTGCCTGAAAAGAAACAGCTCTCCCCATGGCAGCACGGAACAGGAGTTCAGAGGAAGCACACACGGTGAGTGGAAGAAATCAGACAGCAGAAAGGGAACATGGGGTGCTCAGAGAGGGAATGGTCCAGAAGTGATGTCAGGATCTTATAGAGCCTGGGGTGTTGTTCAGACTCCCAGGGACTGTATCTCCCTTGGGTAGCAGAAGAGTGACCAACCCACAGACACAGTGGGCTGGTGGCCCCTCCCTGATGTCAGATTCCCTGTCTCCGAGTTCTCAATCCCACAAGTCTTTACAGGCTCACGCCTGTAATCCCAGCACTTTGGGAGGCCGAGGCGGGTGGATCACTTGAGGTCAGGAGTTTGAGACCTACCTGGCCAACACAGTGAAACCCCGTATCTACTAAGAATACAAAAAATTAGCTGGATGTGGTGGTGTGCACCTGAAATCCCAGCTACTTGGGAGCCTGAGGCAGGAGAATTGCTTGAACCCAGGAGGCAGAGGTTGTGGTGAGCCGAGATCTCGCCATTGCACTCCAGCCTGGGCAATAAGAGCAAAACTTCATCTCAAGAAAAAAAAAAAAAAAAAAAAAAAAAAAAAAAAAAAAAAAGCATGGTGTGGCGGTAAGATGACAGGCCCTGGAGATACCTGGAGTCCTGGCTTTACTGCTTGTGGTTTGAGTTTGGGAGCATCTTCCTTTCTGAAGCTCAGTTTCCTCATCTGTAGAATGGGGATGACACCTGCTTCTCTATTATCTACTTCCCTCTCAGGAGATAGAGGGAGGGTTCTGGCCCGCAGTGGGCATGCAGAAAATCATTGCTCCTTACTTCCGTTTGGCTGGCCCCAGGTGGGTGAAATGTCTGAGCAATAAAGACCCCAATGGCATTGTGAGTAGGCTGGCTACCTGGCCAGGGAGGTGACGAAAAACACAAACTAAGAGGTCCAAGGCCAAGCTCGGCCACATCATTGCCTTAGGCAAGACTGTCCACCTCTTGCTGCCCCTGACTTCCCACCTTCAGGGTTTCCTACAGCTGAAAGGCCTGCTCTGCAGGAGGTCTCCTGGGGCTGGGGTCCTGCCTGGCTCGTCACCCCCCACCTCTCCAGGTGCCCCAGAGCAAGGGCAGGCCCCTCTCGGGGACTCATTTCCTCAGAACCACAAGGGCTAGGGAAGCCAGATGATGGCAGAAGGAGAGTGAGATTCTGGCCCTCTCCTTCCTGACTGTCTCTGCCAAGGTCGCTTCCCAGCTGCCCTGAAAGCCCCTCGAGGACAGGGCATGTACTGTGCCCTTCCCAGGGAGGAGCCTGCCCCATCCCTGTGCTGCCCCCAGCCCCCGTCCACTGCTTCCACTGCAGGACGGGCACTCACTAGGCTCCAGGAAAGCCCTCAGTAGGAAGCTCCTGAAAATACTAGAAGTCAGTCCCTCCTGTTACCTGGCTCTGCTTTCCTCCGTCTGTCTGTCCTGCCCGCTCTCTCTGCCTCTCCCCTTCCCTTCGTCTCTGGCCCTGCCTTCTCTCTTCTCCTTGCCCCAGTTACAGAACCCAGAAGAGCCAGCAGGGACAGGCGGTGAGAGCTACAGCCGGGGAGACTGGGCAAGGCTTTGCGGAGGAGTGGGGCTGGTGCTGGGGGCTGAGTGTGAGGACAGCTTTCTCGTGTAGGCTGGGGGCATTGGGGAACAGGCTCCGGCAGGAGCGAGGGTGGACGCTTGAGCTGTGCAGGGGA